GTCGATTATTGCGAAGAGTGTTGCTAAGGTCTCGGTAGTCTAAAGGCTCAGGACGCTCGCACGGAATGCAAGAGATCCGGGTTCGACTCCCGGCCGAGGCAATATTTTTTCGCAATAAAATTATTACAGTTTTTAAGATTGGGAAGAATTTGGGGGGATTTATTAATTTCAGATTTATTGTGTGAATCCGATAATTTCATCGGCTCTCAATTTATGTCTGAAAAATTAATTATATACTTTCAATTTTATTGAATGTATATTAAATCAGTAGTTCAACATCTTACTGTGATCTATAAGGCGCTGATTTCAATGTGTTTAATACAAAAATGTTTTCCTAATTTCTTTATAATCTTCCACACATGGAAAATCAATTTTTAATTTAATAAAATAATAAAAAATCAAAATTATATATTTGTATTGCACATATTAATATAAAATTTATATTTTTATGTATGCAATGTTAACTTTGGTAAATGAGATTTTTGAATGTGTCTTTTAGACAATCATTTATGAGTGATATTAAATCGAAGCAATATCTTATAAATATTAATTTAAAAAAAAAACTGTCTTTCTCTTCAATATATCTATCAAATTGTTAACGTACTTAAATTTTCTAATAGAGCTAATGACCATTTTAGGTTTCGTTCTCTTTATCCAAGTTTTTATTTTTATTTTTCACAGCTACGCAGTGAACACAAGTTACATGTAACGTATCTATTAAATGTAATTTTCTACTCAATAATATAACTGTAATATAATAGACGCGTGTTACATTACAGTTATATTGTGGAGTGGGAATTATATCTAGCAGGTACGTTACATGTAACTTTGTGTTCACTGGGTAACTACACACACAAGCAGAAGAGAAGACGAAGAAGAACAATAAACCACGAAATAATTAAAGATCCCTCACATCCTAGAAAGATTATCACGTTTTAATCTTCTCACTGTGCTTACGTACTAGTATTTCAGAACGAATCGAAATTACCGCCGAGCGAAACGCGGGCATTGCAAAAAATGAATCGAACGAAGAAAAGAGAGAAATTCATGGACCCGATTAAAAGGCTCTACAGAAACAAAAACTTCATTATGCTCTGTAATTCCTATGGTTTGAATAGCGCCGTGTTCAGTGTCATATCTACATTACTCAATCAGATATTCCTGACACACTTTGAGGTGAGCAAATGAATCTCAATACGGCAGATTAAACATTATTTAAAAAAGAGAAATTTAAAAAAATATTTATAAATTGATATCAACAATATCTAAATACATATTTATATATTTTTGTACGTATCTAAAAGCAAGATATATGTGTATGATACTAAATGTGTTTTAGAATGGAGAAGAAGATGTAGGTAGAATTGGCTTAGCCATAATTCTTACCGGCATGACCGGTTCTGTTAGTTTTGGTATCATCCTTGATAAAACGCATAAGTACAAGTAAGAAAAATACAATTGTGTCAAAAAATTTAAATTTAAATTTAAATTTAATTTTTCCAAATTATTTCCCAATTTAATTTAAATTTATTTTATCCTAAATTATGCGCAAACATTGGCAATGATTCATATTTTCAATTTTCAGACAAACTGCCATGACTGTATATTTTCTTTTATTTTGTGGTCAAATAATATTCGCGGTGTGTATTTGCATGGGTATAAAATGGATGGTATACGTGATGGCGATGTTCTTAGGGTAATATTGACATTCATATTTATGACTATATTAAAAATATTAATGTTTTAAAAATGTATTGTATCTTTTAACAATTTAGTAAAACGTAATTGTTGCTCTCACTGTTTTATTAACGTTTAACGTCTTTTTTTTAATATAT